GTACCAATTCGGCAACAATTAAGCATTTACTTATTTTACTACTCAGCTCAGGCGTATTTCTGGACATAGAGTATGACAAGGCCTTTACCCTCTTGGAGCTTGGCATCTGAAAAACCAAATCAGTATTTGAACAGCTTTAAGAGAATTCTACCTACAGAATTCTACCTATCAGCTCCTCTTGCAAAGGTAAAATTAGAAAAACTCTCATTGTTATGCTTTACTAGATTGTATTAAAAAGAAATGTCTTGGACAATGTCTTTGAGTGCCCCTCCATTTTTTGAAGCATGATAGGCTTTGTTTATTGGATATTTGCAAAAAAGTATTTTGACCTGAAATTTTTAATATAAAGCAAAGAAATGCTATTCTAAGATATATAGCTGACTGACATGTAAAAGGCTTTTTTAGAAACTTATTGTGGGGTCAAGTAAAACTCAGAAAATTTCGCTCTGTTTTCCAACTTAGTTGGGAACATCCTACCCTTTTGCCATTTCCATTACTAGTAATTAATCAACTCTAGAAGTTTAAGCTCACCTAGAAAAAGAAGCTTCTCTTAATACAAACACCAAGATAATAAGCCAACTTGTGACCCGTCCTCTCTTTGCTGAGCCAGAGGTTAGAAGTCAGAGTGCATTTGGACTCACAAACACATCAGCCCGAGCTGACGGAACATCCCCCAGGAGCAGCAGCCACCATACGCACTGTCATTACATTAATAATCACTTGCTAATGGGAGCAGTGACAACCAAGATGTGCACTTAGCGGCTCTGTTTACAGGCGGTCCCCATAACCTGAATGCATGCTTTTCTCTGGGTTCGGTTCCAAAGGCCTCAAAGAACACAAGGAAACCTGCTCAGTATTGTGGAATAAACCATCAAAAGAGAACTTGCTGAAAATTCTGCAGGAGTCTCTGCCCTCATGTCATGGAAGAAGAGTGGGCTGGCAGAATACTAAACTTGCCGTTCAAAGATGATCAAAGCATCAAAGAAACAGATGCAACATTCAAAAAGAGACTCAGCAGAGAAAAAGAAAGAGAATATCTTCTAATAACCTAACAACTTATTTCTGGCACAGTTTTTACCCAATCATCACTCACAGAAATAGGGCATCTACATGAAAAAATACATAAAGTATACTGGCACACCAAGTAACACAACCTTTTGTGCCTTTACATTATCCTCAGGATGTACACACCCACATGAAATACCATGCCAATTTAGAAAAAAAGAATAAAAGAAAACAAAGTTGGCTTTTTAGATAATGAAGTACCAACTTAATCTAATTATATTATGTTCTATATATTTAGAAGAAAAAACATTTACTAAAAATAATGCAAAAAGTTGAGTGGCATTATTTCATTAAAAATTACCTTTAAAAATGTATTTCAATTATTCTGAAAGTTAATACACCCAATTCTTTCAGATCTGAGCAAATCAAACTTTGATAGATTATCTCATAAGACTGATATCTTGTTAAGTGTCAAAAATCTAAGAGTCTGTCAAAAAAGATTTTATTTCCAATACGCAAAGCAAACAAAAATCTCTCTCTCTCTCTCACACACACACCTGTGAACTAAAAAAGCATTAAAACGTTGACTCCATCTATGACATAGTTCTACTTTGAGGAAGAAAAGATAAAACTATTTAAAGATGTTTACACTGGAATTTAGTAGTTTATAAACTACTTACTGGTTTGTAACAATGTTAGGAAAAACTTACTGATTATTCAAAAACGCTTCCTGATCCCCTGTAACTCGAAAGTCCCATGCCACGACTTACGTGCATGCACGGGTACTACACAGACTGTCAGTAACTTCAGTAGGAAGTACATTACGAGATGAGCCTTATATGGGCTGATACACACAAATACTTAATAAACAGTTGACATAATGAGTTGTCTCACAGTTCCTTCTAGAAGTATCTTGCAACAATACCAATGCTTGTGGTGTTTCAGTGAGAACAAGTTTATTCTCCTTTCAGACTCTAGGACTCACACAAGCAAGGGCATCAATGCTTCACCTAAAACAGCAATTCTGAGCTTCACTCCCTTCCACACTCTCATCAGAACTCCTGTTCTCCTTCTCTTTTCTTATCTTTCTGTACATAACAACACTTAGTTCTTTTGTTTGAAAGGGAAATTCATAATTATGGTATTAATGCAACTTATTATATTGCCACCTACCATTCTATCCTTTCTAGATTACTTCTAACCTAACTTACACAACCTTTTTATCTTCCAGAAACTTTTAAAAAATCAACGGACTGTTTCCATCATGTCCCATGAAATAAATCATAATATTAAATTGTTCAATTTTCCTTGTAACCCAGTGATAGAGAATTATGATGTGTGTGTCTGCAAGCTCACCTTTGTTATAAACCCGCTGCCGTCGAGTCGATTCTGACTCATAGCGACCTTATAGGACAGAACAGAATTGGCCCATAGGGTTTCCAAGGAGCGGCTGGTAGATTCATACTGCCCACCTTCTGGTTAGCAGCCAAGCTCTCAACCACTGTGCCACCAGGGCTCCTACCTTTGTTACAGCATTAGCTAAAAACAGTATTTCTAAAAATAAATAGATTGAATCAACAACTTTTCCTGGAATCTATCGCTTTATGTTTGTAATATTTTACAAACTTTTCAGGCAAATTTTTAAACTTGAAGAGATCTCAGTGGCAGCTCTGGAAAACCCAAATGAGCTATGGCTGCATTAATGAGTTAATACTTGTTTTATTTTCAAATGTAAATAGCTCTATTTATAACTACAAATTTATGAGGTCTTAAAATATTACTCAATTAGATACATTTTAAACTAAAAATCATGTAATCTCCTCCCCATTTGCCAAGTCCTACTCTGCTAAAAATAAATAAACAAGAACACAACAATAGCTGAGCACAAGCACTTTCTGACTAGTAAACAATCTACTTTGATGGGGGCAAAATCTCACCTTTAATCAAAGTAGTGCCCTAAAGGGTATTCGGTAGTGATTTCAAAACTAAGCCGAACAGAAACCTTTTAAATATTTCATTTCCAAATTTTCCTAGATAACAATTCTAAAGGAAAAGTGGTTTTTTTTTCTTTCTTTTTCCCCCTTTTTATTAATCTGAATTGAAGAAAAGCACACATTTCATTTACTGTCTGGATTACAGATTCTTATTAAACAAACCAGAGCTCATTATAAAATCAATATCAACTTAACCACCATGCCCGCAGGAGGAACAGCAAAAAGGTCACTCCAAGAAATTCAAACAATTTTCCTGCTGGAAGGGCACGATTTTAATTACAGATACTATTAATTAGAGCTGTCACTGGAAGATTTTTTTTTTTTCTGTTAATCATCACAAACTCAGTTTTAAGTATGCATTTTCAACCTGCATTTTTGTAAAAATTAGTCATTTCTACATGCAAGTCCAAGCTTTACATTCTATCAGTATTTTATATTTGAATTTCAAAGTATATCAAAGGATGCCAAGCTTTGTAAACATCCACGCCAGTATGATCTTCTGTCTTTCGCACATGGAACAGAATTGGTATAATAATTTATTGACTCGCTGACACAGTCTTGGCCCTGAAGCTCTGTTGTGGGTTTTTTTTTTTTTTTTTTTAATTGATGGTCTTTCTTAATAGAATTTCTGGATAAACTCTTACTCATTTATGTGATTTTTTTTTCCCCTTCCTTTTCAAAAGTGATTTTTCTTTTGCTCTGAAGTGCACTGCTACTGGAATACCGTCTTCAGCACACGGAAGGTCGCCATTTCTTCATCAGAAAAATGTTTTCCTCACCAGGCACGTAACCTCCTCTAGAAAACCGGAGGTTTTCTCAATTCAGTGACAATATGAAAACTTTTGAGGCAGGAGAAGTTATCTCCTGTCTCTCTTCAGCATAGCAATTTTATAAGCTCATCCCACAGCTCCTTATGTCAGACAGGGCTAGAGTGGCAGAGAAAAGCTAGCTCAGATGACCTCATAAGAGACGCACTGCTGAGCAATTTGGGGATATTCTTCTGGAAAGAGCTTGAGAGTCTCTCCCCAAACCCCGTGTAACTCTGATGATAGAATAATAATACGTGATTTATATGTGATTATAAAATCCAATATATTATTTATAAGGCCTATTATACATAATAATCAAGTGACTAGAGAAAACAAAGAATCTAACCCAATAGGAGAAAAGCTTTTACAAATATATATCTATTAAACTTTTTAAATGCAGATTAAGTAAATTATTTTACTTTCCCAAATGGTAAAGAAAATATATCCGAAATTAAATGATAATTTATTTTAAAAGAAATCAAATGCTCTGACATATATTCTGAGCCTGCATTGCTGTTAAAACTGAAGGCATATTTTCCTCACAGGACATCATAAAACATGAAATATATACTATAGTGCTTCCAAAATAATCTGTGATTTTTTTCTATGCCCAATTTGGTCTAAACCTGCCTTCTTCACGATCTCATTGGTTTCTAGTTTCTTTCCAGATTCATCTGTAATATTTCTGTACCGCCAGCCCACAGCTGCCACCATTGTTCTCATGGAAGGAGGCATCCTTGGTTTACCTCACATTTATCAGCATTATATTGCACTTTGTCCAAACAATAACAGAGGGTGGCAACAGATCAGGTCAGAGGACCTTTTCATGTAAGACCCTGAGGAAGTCAATGATTTAAGAGGCATCTTCAAACATCTACACAATCAATTCATCTTGCAACTCTGACATTTTTCATTAATAGTGGCCAAACTAAGAAAGATAACAGATAATACATAATTCATGTATTATACTTTTTCCACATTTCTGATTAGCAACTTGCTTTCACAGCTAACAGGAGACTGTCCAATAACAGCATAAGATTAATACAAAGAGCCAGAAAACTGTGGTTGCAATATATTTACATGAATGCTGATGCTAAAGTGTGAACAAATGAACAACTGCCAGGAATGGGGGAGGGCCCAGAGAGAAGCTGATGAGCTGAATACGCCAGTTTTTTAGGGAGTCTCCTTTTACCTGGTAAGCAGCGGTGGCATCTGAGCCTGGGTCCCCGCCTAGTCCAGAAAGGGTCTCCTTCAGCTTGTAGTGAGAGCTATGGCGCAGGCAGTAGATGGCCCCTGAAGCCAGGAGGACACCAATGATGCACGCAATGGAGACCAGGGTGAGGACCACGAACTTGGTGGAGTCTTCTTGCTCCACCTGACGAGGCAGAAGCTTGAGCTTGCTTTTCTACAGAAAAAGGAGAGGAGAATGCTAGTACTTCACAACTCATGACCTCTTAAAAACCCAAGACACACATCCTTTTAAAACTTGGAAATGTGCAATTCAACATACCACGATGCTGTGTTGGCATTAAAACAGCAACAGCAGGGATATACAGAACAGCACTACTCACATGAGAAGTTATTGCAAATAGTATATTACAAACTGAAACATTTTCAAGAGGAAAGTTAAAGGCATAACTTTTTTTTTCTTAATGGCAGCCATTTTTCAAATTAAACAATATAAAGTATTTGGCTGCTAATTTGCTGCCTTAAGTAAAATAAATTGTTTATCCCTTCTTTAAAAAGGTACAGGGGGAAATACAGCAATGTACCCAGATCATGCACAACAGAAGTCGCGGGTGGGGGAGTGAGAGCTGGAGAAAGGAATGAGGACCCCGAGGATCCCGCTGTAGTTACAAGTAACCATAGAACTCAAATAATGTCTTTCGCACACAACAGAATATGGGACTGGTTGGATGAATTTTCATAATATTCTTCTTAGTATTTCAGGTGATTTGTCAACCTGGAAATGGCTCTGCTTGCCTTCAAAGTCATGTTCACTTGTGTAACAGGGACCAGTGGAAGTCACTCTCCACACGAGTGTCTTCTGGACATATACTCTAACACTTTCACACCTAAGGGATTTTTTTTGTTTTGTTTTGTTTTGTTTTTTGTTTTGTTTTTTTACTCGAAAGGAACCAAGGAGTCACAAGACGCGTGGAAAAGGGTGGGTTGGGGAGTTAGGTTTTCAGCGGTGTAAAAAGTGGGCGTTCCAAACTCCTTCAGAGTCTGATGGCTTCATGGGGTAGGGGTGTAGGTAAAAATATGGGAAAGTCCTTTTGGTGCATGTCACTTGTCTCTGTGTGTTAAAAGGTGTACCCTAATCTCCCCTCATTAGCTTCATTATAAGGTATATTAGCAACAATTAAAAACGCAACAGGAAAATGAAAAGACCGGCCAGCAAATTGCGGGGAGACTCACTCGGCCAGCACACCCCTTTCACAATTACTAGGGAAATGAATTGAAAAGCACGCCCCTGCCTCAGTCCTGGTTGCTACAAGATGAGAACAATTAGCAAACTCCTTTCCACCACCTAATTTCGCGTGGTAACAAAATGGATTTTTCCCCATGAATGCCTGGCCGGCCTATTCATTATCTCTCTTCTATTAGTAATTTTCTGCTCCGTATTCAGCTACCCAACTCTTAATTTCCTCCTGTCTTGCAGTGTACACAGTGCCTCGTATGTCAGGCCGGGTCCATTTTTATCTTGTAATCATAAAGGCCACCAAAGCAATTATCGCTGGTCTTGACTGGAAAAGCTGGTCATTAATTAGCCTCCTTTTGCCTTCAGTACAGCGGATTAGCTAGTGCTGGGACTGAGTTAATGGAAACGCGGGATAAATGAGAAAAGACTCCCAGATCTTCTTGCCTGGATGCACGGCTCTCGGAGGAGGACTGTTAGGTTTGTAAACCGCGGGAGGTGGACTCAGGAGAGGGGAACGGAGGGGGAGGTAAAAGAAAGAGGAGGCGGAGAACCCGGTAAAGAGGGAAAGAGGGGGAGGGAGGGAAAGTGGGGAGAGCCGAGAATGACAGAGGGAGGGAGGGAGGGGGAGAGACGGAGCGAAAGAGCTGGGGGCGTGCTGCGCGGGTTCGCGAATCTGGTGCGGCCGCAAATCCGCAAATCCGGTGGCTGCCGCTGGGTCCCCGTGGCGCAGCACTTTCTCTCTCCGCCGTGGAGAGTGCGGAAAGGAGACCCCCCCCCTCCCCTGCTTCTACCCAGCCCCTCCTTGCCCCCGGCCTACCCAGGCACCCAGAGCCTCTGCCAGACAGAAGTCACCCCCAAGAACCGTCCAATCCACCCCCCCCACCAAGGCAGCCAAAGCTCTCCCCCCACGCCATCCCCTCAGCTCTCCTGCACCCTCTCCTCACGCGGGGTGAGAGCCCAAACCAAATAAATTGGAGGTATCCAACCACGACGCGGCATCATCAAGCAGTGGAGGGGAGGGGAGAGGCGCCCTCCCCGTGCAGCGCACCGCCGGGAGCCCGGTGTGGGGACCCAGAGCGGCGCGCGTGGGTCCCGGACCGGCTGACGGCAGCGATGGAGGGGCGCCCCTCAGGCCCGCCTGGGTTCTCCTCCTCTCCGGCGAGCGGCGTTTGATTGTTGGCGTCTGTCCAGCAGCATATTTAAAGCGGCCCCCGCCGGGGTCTTGCGCGCCGCCTCCAGCTCCTCCTCTCCCCGGCCCGCCGGCCGCCCCCACCCTTGCCCGGGATGCCGGGAGGGGCGCGCAGATTCCGAAAGCTGGCTGCAGGCTGGAAGAAAGGAGGGCTTCAGGAACTCGTGGCTTCGGAGACTCCGGCGCCTGGGACGCTCTTCACGGAGCGCGCACAAGCGTGGGGTCCACCGCCGGGGCCGGGGGCTGGCGGACGGGACTCGCCCCGCGGCCGCCTGGGATTAGCATTTCGCTTTCAAGGGCCGCCGTTCCCTCCAGCTTTGGGTGAGAGGTCAAAATCTACATCTAAATGGGAGCCTAGTTTGAAAAATGAAGGTTCCTCGCCCTCCCCGCGCAGGGCCAAGCTACGGCGTGAGGGTAGGCGACGCCGCCCTTTCCCGGGTAGGTGTCCAGCACTCCAAACCCCAGGCGCCGAGACCCTTCAGGGTGCGAGCCTCGAGCACGCGTCGGACTCCGCGCCTGCCCCGAGCATCCAGCGGGATCAGCGCCTTTTCCGTGGCCGACAAACAAGGCGACCACAACAAAGGAAACCGTGCTAGAAGGCCGGTAGAGAGGCTCAGCTGTTCAGCCACGCGGGCGAAGCGCGCACAGCCATCCCCGGCACTCCGCGCATCAATCACGAAAAGCTCTCGAGTCCCACACGCTCGCACGCGGGGACACAGCAATGGAGCCATGCCACTGGCGCCCTACCCGGTATACGATTGTTCGTATTGGGGAAATTGGATATTCTGAGGGCCTAGGCGTACGTCTGTGCTTGTAAACAGGGATTTACCAACCCTCCCGCCTGGAGATGTTAAACGCGCACAGGCGCTCTATAGCAAAACTGGCTCCCTGGGTGCACTCATAACACACCCCTTACGTGATGTACACATCAGTGCACACTCTGGCAAACGACCACACGCATACTAAAACCACACTTATAAACATGCTGCCACACAAGTTCACTTCCAAGTAACCCCCAAACTAACCTTTCAGTATTCGGATAATCCGTGAGGGTCTGTAACAGGTCTTTACCCCTTTAAAGAGCACAAAACAAACACGCGCACAGCTTTAATGTAGCGTAAAACTCGTTGCCGTCCAGTCGCTTCCGACTCACAGCGACCCTATAGGACGGGGTAGAACTGCCCCATAGGGTTTCCAAGGAGCGGCTGGTGGATTTGAACTGCCGACCTTTTGGTTAGCAGCAAGCTCTTAACCACTGCGCCACCGGGGCTCCGTTAATGTAGTGTTAGGTGAATGGCAACTGAGACCTAGCAATGAGTTACACTACTACAGAAGCAGCCGGACTGCGCTTGTATTTTAAGTCGGGCTTTCGCCTCGGCTCACAGAACCCGGCCAAGGTCGGGGCCAGACGCGCGCGGCCGGGCAGGTGTTCACAGCAAGAGGAAGGCGCACTGGGGTGGGGCGATTCACCCTGGGACCTTTGCGAAGCGTTTTGTACGCGAGCTAGGCACCTAGCTCGCGACGCCCGCACAGCGTGCTGCTTTGAGCTGCTAACCCACCGGCGGGTACTATTCGCCGGGAGGGCGGCCGAGCCTCCCGGGGCTCGGGGCTGCGGGTCCTCTTGCCGCCGCTCCCTCACACAGAGCGTTTGGAATTCATTCAAAGGTCAAATAATAACGTCAAGGATAGTGATTTCCGAAAGAGTTCTGGTCTCTCCGCTGTGCGCGCCCCCACTCCTCTTCCCACCTAGCCTAACCCCCTTTGGGTCCCAATCGCTAGCGGAGGAGAAAGGAAAGAGGTAAGGAAGAAGGAGGAGGGGGACCCAATGCCCTATGAGCTCCATTTTCTCCACTCCTGACTCCCCGCTGCCCGGGCCAGTGCTAGTCGCCGCCCGGCCTCCGCTCCCCCGACGGGGGAAGGGGTGGCCTGAGGTCCCAAGGTTCGCCGCCCCGGCCTATCCTCAAGAAGACTCTTCCTCCAGAGAGGGGGATAGGAGATGAACCTGCACCCGCTGGCAATCCAGTGGCGGAGAGGCCTAGACAGACGAGGCCTCTGGTGACGGTGGGCAATGCCCAGGCTTTGAGGGTGGAGAGCACTGCGGTCTGGCGAGTCCTGGACGCGGCGGGGTGAAGGCAAGGGGAGAATCTGACTGTGAGGGGAGACAGGACACTGGCTGGTGGGGTGACCGGAGAGACGGAGGCTGAAATCTAGGACACAGGATCTTAGGTCTCGGCTGGGAAATCCTGCCTGCCCCGGGGTGGGGGGACGGCAGCGCCTGTCCTGCGGGCACCTCAGACGGAACTTGAAAAGTTACTTTTCCCTGGGGCCGCTGTGCGCACACCCCGAGTTGCGGGTTCCAAATGCCCTTCCTGGAGCTGCTGCAGGGAAGGGTGGCGGGGGTCACGGGAGCGAATCCCGGAAAAAAACAAAAATTTAGAAAAATTATTTTTTTAAACAGAAAAAGGAAAAGGTGAACTTTCCTTGGCATAGTGATTGTTAATAACTTTACGATATTTTTTTCTTCCTCTTCGTGGAGTTTAAAAAAAAACTTAAAACTCTTGCTAAACATGAGCTTTAAGAAAAAAAAGTCTAATATTGGTTTAAAAATTAATCTAATCCAGAAATACTGTTGGTGCGCGTCCCGGCCTCCCGTTGACTACTTCTCTGTGTTGGCCTCCCAAAGGCAGAGCTACTGCGTCTGCACTACAGGTTCTTTTCTGAAATCTTGTTCTTGGACTGGGCTCGGAAGAGAGTTCCAGTACTAATTAGAGGCATCTTGTCAGTCTGGACT